GAAGCGGTTGTAGTGCGGAAAAAGCAGCTAAATCTGCAAACTCAACGATCAGGTTTTTAAAAAACGTGCTTGAGGAATCAGTTACATATAAAGTGCGGTTAAGTTTACCGTATCTACTTAAGCAATTAAGTATTTCCTCATCAACCTTGGTATCGGTAGCACCAGTAATCATCACAGACTGTGATACATTTATACCAGATTGCTCAACAATATCCATCATGTTTTTTTTTTTATTAAGTATTCTTTATTTTACCTTTTGAAAAAGTTGAATATTTTACTTAGAATTTCCTATTCCTACAACTGAAATAAATGTTCAAAATGAGAAATAGCCCAAAAAAAAAAAAATGTTCACACACACAAGCTCCTGGCTAGCTCGCCACGTGTAACGCTTATTTAAGGCTAGGCGCCTGACTGCAGCCAGTTATAATAGGCACTCAGATAGGTTCGCCTATGGAGCCCGTGGGTGTGAACAAAATACCATTAGACCGAAGTATGTTTCAATTATTATATTCAAGTTTGAGTCTTTTTCAAATATATATATATAAAGGTATGCAATATTAATAATATTTATAACAACAGTGACTTCTTTTATGATATAACCAAAAATACGACAACAAAAACAAACAAACTCATCAACAAAACAATAAATCCTTATGTCACCCAAGAGTTTCCTTTTTAGTCCATTCATGAATCTAGAGTGATTCAACGGTTCATCAATCAATGTCTGATTGTTGTAGGGTTTTTCTTGTCCATAACCCAAAGCAAATAAGTTCAGAATGAGAAAGTAACTTGGTTCATGTAAATCCTACCGCGAAGCTGCGGTGATCCGGTAGCTCGCCATCTTGACGTGACACAGGGGGTGAAAAAAAACCTGACCTAAACAAGGTCATAAATAAAAATACAAATTAGCTATCATATTTAAACATTGTTAAAATGTTATTCAAAATAAATAAACATTCAACAATTACAACATAAATAAATAACTTCATTTCAATAAGTGGTTCTCATGAATTTAAATTAAAGATCGCGATCAGATTAAAGTTACCGGTACAAATCAAAGTAAAGTTACCGGTACAGATCAAAGTAAAGTTACCGGTACAGATCAAAGTAAAGTTACCGGTACAGATCAAAGTAAAGTGCACTTTTTAAATTCCATCTAAGTTTAATTGACGCAGTCAATTAAACTTAATTGACTTCCATATCATTTCAAAAAAAGAATTGTTTTTTTTCCTCTTATTCCTCACAAAAAAAATATCTAAGCCCAGAGTTCTGTAGGCTGTTAGCAAAATTTAATAAAAAGTAACTGAAACCGTCCTAAAAGGATGAATCTACAAAAATCAAAAGGCCTATTTAATATTTTAACAACATATAATCCATTCGGCCACAAAATTAACAAAAGAAAATGACCCTTAAGTCAATAAATATACTTTTCAATCTTTAAATGCACAAATTTAGTGGGCGTGTCGCCACCGCATTTCTATTTCTAAAGAAAAACAAAATACGTAAATTAAACGACTCACCGTCGAGCGGTCGACAGAAAACACTCAGTTAAATCCTTCGGCCGTCTTAGTAAGCCTTGATCCAGCCGTATTCTTCTATTAGTTTAGAAGACGCCGAGACGAGCAGCTAGCCACAGCGACAGCAGCAACAGCTATTCAGATCTGAGTCACCTGTGACCCGGAACTTAAAGGGTGCTATCAATTTGACCCGCCAAAATAAAATACGGGTTCTTATTTTATGCAGGTTACACCAGCAGTACTATATTAGGAAGCGCCATTTGTAAACTTTGCGATTGTTGACAGTTCAGAGTTCTCATGACAAGTTGTAGTTTTGAAAAAGTATATACTGATCTTCTCTCTCCTTCTCTCTGTCTCTCTTTCTAAAGAAGGTAAAAATGTATGAGACTGACAAGTCAGAAATCAAAGAATCTCCCTTCAGCAGAAACAAGGGCTCTGAAGATTCTCCAGCATCTTGGATATAGCGGCAACGTTTTTATTTCGATGTGTTTTGGTGTGCATGTGTCTACGTGTGTAGCAAAGCTGTTTGCTCAGAAAGATGTCGTTCTCATAAAAGATTAATAGTTCCCTGGTGGCCCTGAGGCACCCAAGCCAACAACTCAGGGATCATAAATAAAACTAAATGGATCAATATTTCCAAGACTTTAGCAGTAACCTATGGCTACCCCTACCTTGAGAGAGAAAGCTCTGAGAAAGGTTAGGTTTTAATGGAAGCCTTCCTCTGGTAATAATACAGAAAGCATGCTATTTATCATCGGCACTGTGTCGTAATGTACCTAAAATCAAAAAACTGCTCTGCATGTGATGACAGTAAGTATAGAAATTTAGATACTTTATCTTCTGAAATAATCCATCTAATGACCACTTTCAATAGAACTGTCTTGAGAGTATTTCTTCCAAACTGCTGAGTTTTAGGGTAGATGATGAAACAGCCACATTCTATCTGGAGAAAACAGACAGCCATGAATGTATGGCTGATCTCTGAATTGTAAATGAAGCATTCGGTCTCTAAACTGCCTGCCACACTTGCTTATTAATCAACTTTTATTGAGCAAAGTGCCAAAGCTAAATGAAATATTACAGCTGAACGGAAACCTGCCTTTGATGAACATGACAAATGCAGTCATTTGACTGAAGTCTGGAAACCTATTATTGTTGCAGTATGATGATGGTAATTATGATGCAGGTTTTGGTTATACAACCTGACCTGTCTCTGCAGAGTTTCTAACAAATTTATCCAAGTATTGTACATTGGGGTGTTTTATCTCAGTGTTAAACTTGAAAGCCACATACAAAATAATTTTATTTCATTTTTCATATTTAGCTTTTGAAGGTAAAAAATGTATTGTCCTTATTTCCAATTAATTTAATATGCAATGGCAAAGTATTGGAAATGTACTAAACTCGAAAATAATTAGTTTCGACCTTAAGACAAAACAAATGCACTTTTTGAATACATGTTTTGCAGTGCAAGTCTTTAAATGATGTAAAGAGGAAAGAAATGTATTTATCATATTGATATTTTCAGTATAGGATAATAAAGCCTGACAAGTTTGCTGTAAACTGACACACCCCTTTAGGTTCATCCAACTTGATGCTGCATATCTTGAACTTATTATGACATAGTTTCTTCAAACCCCACCTGCTCCCTGTCCTATAAATATATCCACTGTTGCTGTTTGTTTTTTGGTTTGAATGCCATTATTGACATATTGTGTTAAAAAGCTCTTTACAGATTCGCATTGGGGAATCTAATTCTGTTCACTTCCATGAGTGTTATGAAGAAGGTCTAGAACATAACAGACTGAGCTGAAATAGTGAAACAGCAAATCTAGGATGCGAGTATGGAATGGTGAATGCTTATCTTGGGCTGTTGGTTGGAGTCAAAATGTGCCATTTGCGTGATGATCCAACAGTAACGTAACTTTATCTAGGTCTTTTTTAATTTACCCTAACTTACCCAAATGCTTGAAGTATCTGAAAACAACATTATTTCAAACTCCTCAACAATTCCAGGGATTAAAGTATTCTGGCCCAATGATGGATTTCTGGCTCATAACGATTGCCCTTGGGTAAAAAAAAAAAAACAGTTGAAAATAAATTGGCGGTAAGTAAATAAAAAAAGACAATTGAAATCCCCCTTTGTCAACCAATGGTAGTAAAGGAGTGCTCTGAAACTAGCAGTATTAGCCAATCGGGAGAAGAAGGGGGCGGGTCTTTGGAAAGCGTTTACTTCCTCATCTTGTTTCTTGCTCCAGTTGCCAGATAGATTGTGGTACAGTGCAGAAGGGAAAGTCACCTTTCGCCGTTTACGGCTCCATTTAACGAAGAGATGTGTTAAAAGTAAAAAAATAGATAAATTAAACTTTGTATTTGGAGAGAAGGGCGATAGAGAGAACGGAATTGCACGGAGTGGGCACAATGCAGTTCATGAACTCCGGCACACTGTGCTCCAGGAAGCTTATTTGCGGCAAAAAGGTGCTATGCAAACATGAATTAGACCCTGGTCATCAAGCTGCTCTTCACGCGACCACGCCCACTACACGTTTGCCGGGAACTACGGCAACAGCTGATGTACCAGCGTCAATAACTGACCGTTTTTGCGGGTTAAAAATAAGGGTTTGTGCTTTCCTCCCCGAACAAGACCTCTCTTTCACACAACATATGGATGCACTTTTACCGTCTTCTGGACGATTTTGGTATTAGATTGTCAAAATTCAAATTTAGTCTTCAATCCTTTATGCAATCTCTGATCCAACCGCATTATAAACACTGCAGACATATAAAATGGGCATATAAAATATAGAATTCACAAATGACATTCTTGTAGGAATCACAGAATTTTATGTTTTACAAAATACACAGTTTTTACAGTGAGAACCAAAAAAAAAAGACTATAAATAAGCCAATATGAAGATAAATTAATAAAAAGAAACAATATGACGACGTTTCAAATCTATCCAGGGCAATTTGATTCCCATGTAGATGGAGCCTAAAGCACCTATTAATAATCTTAGGAGGAAATTTAAGATCAATATACTCAGGGGTATATTTTTTATTTCCATTTCTTCAGTATTCTGATTTGTCCTGATGAAGAACGTATTGATCAACTTTATCTTGCTTTGCCAAAATTACATTATTTATATATATATTCAATTATAGATCATTGGGTTATTTTATTTTCTTGGCCACTTGTCTTTTTTTTTTTTTTTAACCAAGAAGGCCATTTGTTGTGGGGGGTTTTTCTATAGAATTTTAACCACCAAAATCTATCTCTACTCTGTGACATTATCAGCTGTAAGTTCATTATTTAGTTAATCTATTTGTCTTTTCCTTGTACCAAAGTTTCAGGCAATGTTTTGAATTATTCAATTGAGATACATTTCCAGGCCAAGAAAAGCATCTTGATCTGTTTCTGAAAAGGAAACGGCTCTTAACAACCTATTCACGTGTTTTTTTTGTTGTTGTTGTTTTTCTCACTAGGGGATTAATGCCACGTACACTCGACAGCCAGATAACGTTAGAGAAGACTCCAAGCTACTTCGTGACCAGAGAGGCACCCCACCGCATATCGAGCATGTCTCATGATACCAAGCTGATCGTTGTGGTACGCAACCCCGTCACCAGAGCCATTTCTGACTATACTCAGACCCTTTCTAAGAAGCCAGATATCCCTACTTTTGAAGAGCTGGCCTTTAAAAACCGGAGCTCGGGTCTTGTGGACACATCCTGGAATGCCATTAGGATTGGGATGTATATCCTCCATCTGGAAAACTGGCTTCAGTATTTTCGTCTGTCACAGATGCATTTTGTGAGCGGCGAGCAGCTGATAACGGATCCGGCAGGGGAAATGGGCCGTGTCCAGGACTTTCTAGGGCTCAAGCGCATAATCACGGACAAGCACTTCTACTTCAATCGAACCAAAGGTTTCCCCTGCTTAAAGAAGCCCGAGAGCAGCAGCCAGCCTCGATGTCTGGGTAAATCCAAGGGCAGGACTCATGTCCAGATTGAGCAGGAGGTCATAGAGCAGCTTCAGGAGTTTTATAGACCTTTTAACATCAAATTCTATGAAACTGTGGGACAAGATTTCAAGTGGGATTGAATGTACTATTAAAAAATGTTTATAAAATGACTACCTCTGGAAGAAAATTAAATCTTTGAAGAATATTTAATTAAGCGGTATAGGGAGGTATTATCAATATTAAATTAATGGTATTAAAATATAATTCTATAAACATGGGTTTTTCCTGTTGGTCATTCACTGAAGGGTGTAGTTTATTAATTTAAGATATGTACACCAAACTTGTTTTTTTTTTGTTTTTTTTTATCGACATGCGACTTGAGTAATCTGCAACCGATTTTATTGCTTCAGCTTTCTTAGGGAATAACCATCTCAAAGCTTCTCTTCTATTACTGTTGCCAGCTATACAATCATGGCACAGCTTAAATATTTATTATCCAGATTACTTATTTATTCACTATTTCCCCTGAAAATGATCTGTTGTCTTTACTATTAAAATGAGCTCTCCACATGAGTCGCCTCAAAATGTCAGATGAATAATAAAATCAGCCTCTCTGATCTGTTTTTTTCTGCACCAAAACTTTTTTTTTTCTGGAGATAAACCAGGAAGTAGAACTGATAGCTCTGTGAGAAACACAGAATAACAATGTTTACTGGAAGATATGCTTTGATATGTGTTTGCTTTTTGGTGGGCTTCAGCTTCTTCCGTGTTTGTAAAATTATGTGACCATAAAAATAAAATAAATACAAAAAATATTTATCGAATACATTTCTTTTTAACTAATCATTAAAAAGACAGACGTTTATGGTTTCTTGTTAAATTAAGTACTAATACAAGTTTTCAGAAATAAAATAATTTCACAGATTTCCATACATTCATTTATTGGCTAAGACTATTAAAATGCTCTTACTATTATGTTCACGACTGTGAAGTTGTCATGATTAACTATTCATTTATGTCCCTGCCAGTTAATGTTAGAGTAACCATCGTTTTCCTCTAATCTAAAACTCTGTGTATTATCTTGCTCAGAATGTTAGGGTTAGGGAAACTATGATATCTGGGCTTGGAATTAAAACTCTGCTCAGAAATTTAAACAAAACAATTTTAAAGCAAGTATTTCTCAACTAGCAAAGACTATAATATGGCAAGCTTCAAATATTTTTAGCTTTATTAGACATTTCTATGAGATATATATATATATATATATATATATATATATATATATATATATATATATATATATATATATATATATATATATATATATATATATATATATATATAAATCAATGCTAAGTTGTAAGAAATATTCATAATAGTAACCAAAACGAACATTCAAGCAGTCAAAAATGTACAGTAATTCTTTGGTCATAATGGGACATTGAATGAGAGCCACATTAGGATAACACAAACTCCACTCACCTGTACTTCCCAACTTGTGCATGTATGGAAATTAAAAAGTGAAAATTTATAGTGTGTAGGTTATATAATAAAATTGTGATATTAAAGCTATGCAACATTCTGCACTCCTTTAGTGGCCTGCAGAATAAAACCACATTCACAACTTCAGTGGTATATAAAGGAATAGCAGTTAGCTGTTAGCAGGCTCACAGATGTATCCTAAAGCATTAAGGAAAAAATTTCAAAAATTTAGGACAGCTTAATTTAAAAATCGTTGTACGGTAGATATATCACAATTAACAATGTCCAAAGTAGACTGCTTCCTTGCAGCCCAGCCCAGAACAGTTCCAATTAGGGAGTATTTTACCAAGTTAATTCAAAGAGTTTTACACTGATTAGTGTGACGTGCCAATTTAAATTTCTACCTTACAGCTCAGAGATGGACAGTGTTTCATAAATTACTCAATGACTTGTTCTAAAATAGTCGGAATCACAGCTTAAAAATTGTCCAAGCTATTAAAATGTGATGACTTGAGATAACTTCTACACATAGTGTCAATCAAAAACTTAGTTTTAGATCAATATTAATCTATATCCCATGGTGAAGCTTATATGAAACACAAAGAAACACTGAGCTTGACAGTTTGCAAAAATTGTATCAAAAGATTTAACGTTCGCATGTCATTCATCTCATCCGATCCTTTTTTGTATACATGTGATGTTGTCACTGCTATGATTCGATCTCCTTGTTGAGCCAAAACAGTGTTCAAAGCAATAAATGTGTTGGTTGAGTGTCTGAATTAACCTCTTGATTTTCCACCCTGAAGCCAATCAGAGTTGTCATCAGTCATTTCCACTGATGCATTCTTAACAAGAAAGAGAGGGAGGATTGAAAAAAAAAAAAAAAACTATTTCATTTTGGGAAACAAGCAATAATGAATCAATAATAGACTCAAACTATTTGTATGTAAATTTGCATTACTCTAAACTTGCTATGTAGAACACTCCAGATAGAAAAAGACCTCCCACCAAGGTCACTGTTTTTATTTAATCTAAAATCTGAACATCTAACATCATTAGCTGTTAGTATTTCTTATGATGCCTATACACTCTAAACTGTAGGCCACATTAGTAAACTGATTTGCATTAGTCTTTGAAATCAGTTTGAAATAAAAAAAAACATCTCAAAATAAGCATGTGTCCATTTTAAAAAGGTCAAAAAACAATCAAGACCATGTCTCTAACAGTTTTAATTAATGGAAAATGAGAGCATAATTTACATATAAAGAAACAAAGGGATCAACCAACCTCCTCAATGAAAGTCCATTTAATAAATCTATCAACAGTGTGTTTAAGAGTCTTTTCAACCCTAAATATCTATGGGATGTTGTACTATTATTGTTGGAATTATAAAAAGTGTTACTTTTTTGTTTCTTTTTTGCATAACAACTCCACTTTTAATGCAATTGCTGCATTTCCATCGATTTTGGCCAATGAAGAAAATTTCAGTTGAGAATATTGACTGCTTTATAGTAACATTAAACAAAATGATACAGTTCTACTTAATGACATGATTAAACATGAAAACTGTGTTGTTTAATATAGGTGAACGCAACATTGAAAGAACTCCACCGGTTTCAGCATACCTGCACTAGAGCGTGAAGTATTCATCTGACTTTATCTATTCACATTTCATTCCTGTTCCTTAATCCCTCTGCTGCATGAGTCCGGTTGCCTTATCCAGCCATGATTAGACTCATGCAATAATGCAACACTGTAAACTGGCTGTAACCTGTTTTACAACTGATGAACTCCTGTTTGTTTGCCAACAGCAGTGTTTAAACTGTCATTTGTGATATTTTTTATTATAATTGATTAACCTGCCTGTTATTTCTGCAGCTGTATGCTTCTTAGAGAGGCATCAACAGACATACCATTTTAGCAATAAGCTCCAATTTATCTCTCTCCAGTTAATTAAAAGTTTTCCACAAGAATGCTTAGGGCTAGATGACACTAAGGAAATTCTACCGCGCACAATATACAAGACCAGATGTTTCATAAGTCCCTTAAATTGCTTCTTTGTGAGGTTTTACTTAGTTTATATAAAATCTGATTTTTTTCCTTTTCCTACTAGACGATCCTGCATGTGAAGCATGGGAAAACAGTCAGGGTTTTATTAAAATATCTTTTAAAATTTAAAGGGCATTAAATATAACACCTGTTACACCACCTGTGTATATATTGTAATAACTTCTCATTATAAAGAAACAAAGGTTCACTGAAAACTAAAAGCTGTCCGACTGACCATTCTAACCTTCAACGTAAATACCAAAGAAGCTGTTGTAAATGTCATAAACTTTGAAAGACTCTGAGGTAAAATAAACCTCTGCTGCTCATCAGAAATGTCTAACAGTTCACACTGGAACCCATTAAATGAGAGCACATTTATTTTCCACTTCAGAAAATGAAAACATAATGAGTCCAAATAGGTGTTTGTAACTGCTGCTGTTAAAGCTCCTAAATTTAATCTGAAATCATGAGCTAAAAACACTAAATGTCTTGCAAAGTAACAACTAGGGGAAAAAAACAGATGTAGCATAGATTCTGTAAATGAAAGATGCAAAACAAAAATAATTTAAAGGAAATTATCATTAGCCTGGCCTTGAATGTATGACGTGGATGGATGGATGGATGGATGGATGGATGGATGGATGGATGGATGGATGGATGGATGGATGGATGGATGGATGGATGGATGGATGGATGGATGTATGAATGGATGGATGGATGGAAGGAAGGAAGGAAGGAAGGAAGGAAGGAAGGAAGGAAGGAAGGAAGGAAGGAAGGAAGGAAGGAGATCTAGGACAGAAGATTTTAAAGGATAAATTTCTACACCCCCATTAGAAAGTCTCTCTCTCTCTGTTGAAGACATTTTTATAGATTTACTTAAGGAAAGAAACAACCTAAGTGCAGTGAACAAAACACAGTTCTTGATGTGGATGCGAGAAATAGCCGAAGCAGGAATTCAACAGGCAAACCCCCAAGGATTATTTGTGAGAAAAATGTTTATTGGTAAATACTCATGTTTCAAAAATAATTTTGTTGTTTGGTAATGCAATGTTTCTTCTCTCTTAAAACATTATTCTAGTGTGTTTACTAATGGCAGTTAGATAGCCGCTGAAATTCATTAATATACATCCATATTTTTTCTAGTGATACAGTTTAGAGAAAAAGAACACGAGTAAGAATTTTAGAGATAAAATTTACATCTACTCTCAGACAAAGCCAGAACTTTAGTGTTTTATTAGTGATATTTTTATTTAGTGATATTTTGGTTATAAGTTACTGAGGTGAATAAAGTTCAAACTGGGCTTTTCAGGAAGAGCTTTTAAATCCCTGGATGAGGTACCAGTTTATTAGGTATCCACTCTATTACTCTTACACAATCTTCCTTTTTCTAGTTTCCAGACTTTTCATTAAGAAATTGATGTGTTTATAATAAATATGATCATAATCAAAAACGTGAAATTGGGATATATCCTCTTTAAGAACACTAAACTGAGCAAAGCAGAATATTAATAAAGAATCTTTATTTCAAACGACCTACAGTATTAGAATATTTAAAGAGTTAGCTGCATACGATTTTCGAGGTAAGCTAAAATTTTCTTGCCTTACTTGACATTTCCAAGAGCAACAGATCCTTGCCTTGTTTCTTACTAAGATGTTTGATTTGTCCAA